ATTTTTAAGAAATCAAGTGATGAAATACGACGTTAACGAAATTACACGTTTTGATTATGCTAAAACTGTATAGTTCAAATTTTTAACGAGCCATAAATAATATTACAATAACATGTGGTAACTATAACCTTATAACCTAACTTATATTTTTTGAAATTTTTTTTTTTATTATTAATTTTATTAATTATTATTTTTATATTTAATGACGAAAACAATATTTTTGGTGTACATAATTACGAAACGATAAAAAACAATATTTTTAACCTACCTTTAGCAATATAATATTTAATGTTGCTATTGACAGTCCTAAGTCTGTATTAAATGGGAAGGAAAATAATGTATTTATATCGGACGCAATTAGTATAGTTGTTAAATATTATCGGGACGCAATTCGTTTGCTGTGATAAATACAATATTATATTTTAATATTTGTTAATTAATATTTGTTTTATATTATAATTATATACCTACCTACCTTATTAGACGCACGCCCCGTAGAAAAACCATAATAAAAGCAATGCCTAGTCAGTGTACCTACACGTCTTATATTATAGAACAGTATATTATATCGATTACGGTGTTTGGATTTAATAAGTCGCCTCTATGGCTTTATAATTAATAATATCATAAATGATAACAAAACAATTATTTACATAAATGTACCTACCTACTTAATACCTAAGTATGCTAATAATTATAAAACATATAATTTGTATAGTATAAATTATAATACACACATGCATTATAATACAACTGGTACACTCTCATAATAATATATATTCAGCCTCAATATATCGAATTCTAAATACCATAAATAAAAAATACGTATCTACCCGATCCGTTTGACAATTGATTTTCATCAATAATATTTGTAGAAACAGGAAATGTTTTCAGTGGTAGAAATCCTATAGTGGTTCCTTTATCCCATGTCTACCTTTATACACAAATGTATACTAGCTGACATTCGATTATCCAACTTTGATCTGATATCAGACCATACACTGTCAGTAGCAAACAGCAACTTCTAAATTAAAAATATAAATCCTTAAAAACACTTAACGCCTCACACAACAATACAATTGTTTGAGTTGGGGAATATTATAATATTTCATGTTTTTGAAACCAGAACGAAAAACCACTGTAGTACCTACCTATGTAAATATTTGTTACGATATAACAATATTACAATAATTCTAATTAAAAATGTAATAATCTTTCTTAACTTACTTTTTTCACCATTTTCGTTGGTAATTGTTGAAAGTGAAGCTTGACGGACTAATGATGTTAGCATTATTATAATAAGTAATAACACGACAATATGATTATGTATAAGTATAATATTATATAATAACGTACAACTGGACAATTAAACTGTGACAGTACACACACATCGTATACGCTCTGTACAACGACGCCTGTGCAAGTGAATATTACATACATCAAAGGTCCTATATATATGCACGACCGAGGTCATGTTACATCCGTAAAGAGAGTGAGTCTTATGATCGTACATAACTAGTTACTATATTGTACACACGTGTCAAGGCCAGTGTCGGCCTGGTTCTAAAGGGCCCAGGCAGGATTTTATTTGGAAGGGCCCCAGCCCCCGTACTACAAAATTTATTTATTATAATTAAATTAAATGAATCATAAATATGAAAAATGGTCATAAAAATGTAATACACATTGTATATAAGAGATTCTAAATTTGTCATTTTAAATTTTAAAAAAAGTTAAATTTTTCTCTTATTCTAAATTTACAGGTATTCAACTTTTATATAAAAAAACTATGTATATATAAAATAAATACATTAAATATATTATATTAAAAGTCTTGTCTTATCTTTTGACGATTTTGCTATGTCATCTATTAGTTTTATTTCGTCTACATTTAAAGTAATATCTTTTTCTATAAAGCCAAAAGCATTAGTGGTTCTAAATGCTGCTGATCGAGTGGCGATCTTAATTTGGTTTTAATTACTTTTAGCTTGGAAAATACTCTTTTACGCGTGACTTGAGTTGATGGCAATGGCATTATGTATTTAAAAACTTGATACAAGTTGTTGTACATACCAGAATGACTAATACATAAACGTACATACTTACACATAAACGTAGAGTAATCAATTTCTATTTTTCTTTATCTATAGAGTATAGACTACATCGCAAGTTAACGATTTATGTCCGTATATTGGTACGATAATTAATTCGGTATTATACATAATATTGCAATAAATGCACAGAACTATAATAATACTATACAATACCTATTATAGACAGTGAATTGCGAAATAAAAATCCCCGATTCTAGGAAAAAACACCCAGACTTCAATATTAGGTACTCACATAATCACATGAAATTGATTGATTAAATGTTTTTTAAAAGCTAATTAATGTAATTACCACATTGTTAATATTTAATTATAAATAAACACAAGGTTTAGGAATAGCTATCATTAAAAAAATGATTGTATAATAAATAGTGTTCAAACATTAACAATAACATTAGGTATTTTGTTTTTGATTTGAAACAACATAGGTAAATAATATGTTAATGGTTCTTTTAAAAAAATATAGGTTAATACATTCAGTAACTATTGTTTGATAATTATTTGTAATTTGTATCGATTATTCGAAATATTTTTATTTTGTAATATTTTAAATATTGTATCTATGAGTAAAACTTGTAAAATCGACTCCTAATAATACAATCATTTCCTTGTGGATTCCTCAAAAACGATTTTAATCAACCGGCTAAATTAATCATGGTGAAAAACTATAAACAGTGTAAATATACATGAAAATATGAAATGCTTTAATTTAACCTGCAATTTCACTATGGGCTCTGGCCTAGCCGCCAAGGAGGCCTCCCCCTATTTACGCCACTGGTGAAGTATAATAATATAAAAAGATACAACAGACTCATTATAGAAATTGAAGTAGAAATTAAATAAAATTTAAATAATATTCATTAAGTTAATCGATTGGTTTTTCTTTTTTTTTCTTATTTTATAAGTCTATATTATAATATAAATATTACGTTCATAATAGTTATATAGGTACGAAAATATGCAGTAAATCTAGTACGTCACTAGGTAGCATCACAGTCGCAAACGTACATACCCGTACAACTTTGTGACCGGTGTCCCCCCCTGCCAGTAGTGTCCAGTCCTATGTAGTAGTTCGTGCTTTAAACAATTTACCCAATAATTCCACTTTTACTTATTTACTATTATTATATTACTTAGCTCGCACCACAAGTCACAACCGCATTTAAATATATATATATAAAAAAAAAAAAGACGGGGCCCAGGCAGCGATTGCTGCCTAGCTGCCTTGGCCAGGCCGACACTGGTCAAGGCTGACTACATGTACTACATATTAATTGTATATTTCAACAGTAATAATAACTGATTCTTTGTAGAAAATTACAGCATCGATAACCAATGACTAACACATTTTCGTCCAGCCATTTAAGATAGTCTTAATAAATGTTTTGCTTTATAATATTGAAATAATTAATGAAACACATTCAAATACTACAACAACAGTCCCATCCCATCAAATAAAATTTAAATTGAGAAATTACGAAATCTAGCATACAGTCGTAGTAAATACCAAAATAATTCGATACAACAATAGGAATAATTATATAAAAATATAATTGTCCGGAGTAATATTCGTTTGCGTTTGCGATTCCACAGCGGCGTGGAGCAATGCGGTACTATACACACGCAGTGTGATCGGTGTTTCTCGGCTCGAATCGTGTATGTGAGCCACGATTAAAGATATAATGGTTGCCCGACGGGCTATGTCACAAGCTATATCACATGGAAATTGAAATTACTTTCAGAACCAGCTGCTGAATTAACTTAGTGCACTCTCTATCCGTGATAATAATGTTTTATTAAAATATTATGTAAAAATATATTCCCGCCTAATTTAAACTTTATAAGCAGTAAGCACACAACTACCATTACCATTGATTAAAATCACGATTAAAGATACAATTAGTTGTGATTTGTGAACCTTTGCGTGAAAAGGCCAAAGGGGGGATGTTGCGTAAAGTCATATGCCCGGCAGCGTTACATAACGCAACGAATGTAGATCGTATTGAGACGGTCGCAACGGCCACAGTCGTCGCACGGACAGCCACACTGTCGCATATCGTCGTGACGGCCTCATACGGGATAGATCCGTAGTACATTTAATATATGTGCTTCTATACTACGACAAAGTATTGACACTTTATATCACAACACAAGTCTTGTGCTCGCGCCTTGTACGCATATGAGCGACATAATATATATACAAGTCTTGTATTCGCGCCTTTACGCCTTTGAGTGAAGTGATAGTACTGTTCTATACGTACGCCAGTGTTCTTTCTTCACCTTCACCATCATCGTCATTACCAATTCCTGGAAGGTATTTCTCATCTTCAACGACATCTCAACAACCACTCTGAAGCCAGTGCCAGGTCATCACACATACGGTTGTCGTGAGTCGGCTATACGCCATATTATTATTGTCATTGCAAATGTTATTATATTGTCATTTGCTACTATTCATTATTTATTATTATTGTTAAGTTACTAACATCATTGTATGTAAGGTAAAGATTATTGTATTCCTTGCAAAATATTATTATTTCTTCTCTACCATTTATTAGCGTTGTTATTATTATGAGTACCTCTCTGAATACCCCACAGTGACCCAACAAGAGTCACCATCACCGGTAAAATTATTATATAGCGTGGCCAACGAGCTCATTATTTATTAACGAGAATTGGTACGCATCATTTGGTCCTTCGAACCGGATGGTGATCCTTGTGAGGGTATAATTACTTGTGAGGTATTTGTGCCGTACCTTTTATTCAGTAAAAAAAAACCATGAGAAGTTAGGTTTTTTATTTTGTTAATGCTTCACTCACTCTGTATACTCCTGTCAATATTCCGCATCCACCATCTGCGATATTCTGGGCTTTGATTATATCTCAACTTTACATTTGGTCACGTCGTACAAGGTTCAATTCTGCATCGATTCCTGAGTGTAACAAGTTTATCATAGCACAACGAAATATACCAGTCAACCTTGAATTCACGTTTATTTTGCTTTTACGATAAATACTGTTGGGCGTCTTCGTCGCCGTCGCCGCGTCTAATCTTTGGACTTTGGACTGTTCAACGGTAATTCTTCGGTCATCACGCGTGTGTACAGATTTACCTGTTCCGTAATCGCTACCGGTCTTCGTCCAATTAGTCGCGTATTGGCAACAAGTGTTAACGACGTCAATTACGATAGCTAAGTTAAGGTCCAGGTAACGGTCATTAGTCTGAAAAAGGGACATCTAAACAACATAAGTGTTATTTCTTATTACGTTCCGACTGATGTATGCAAATCATTAATCATTATTTAATACATATTGATATATTTACGTAAGCTTCAAATTTCAATCTTGGATTTTCAAGTAAATAACTTAAAGTTGAAGCGTCATTATGTCGCTGACCACAGGAGATCGGGAGCGACTCGAGCGATTACTAAAACGAAATATTTATAAACGAGACCAAGCCGTGGAGCAAATTTCGATTTTAATGGGTGTTGTTAATAGCACAAAAAGTGAACAGTCCGATATCGCGATACTGCAACCGAGACTGGATGATCTTGAAATGTTAATTACCGACGTCCGTCTCTATCAAGATTCGATTTTAGACGGGTTTATCGAACTCGACCGCGATAGTGAATTCATTACAACACACCACCCGATAGGAAAACTCGCATTAGAACAATATTATACCATTAAATCTATATGCAATGAAATTGGTTTAACTAAGCAGAATCCAGTTTCACCACCTACCACACGAAATATTAAACTACCAAGAATAGAATTGCCGTCGTTCGACGGAAATATTCTACATTGGCGAGCCTTCCGTGACACATTCGTGTCTCTAGTGCACGACAATGATCAAGTACCACCGATTCAAAAATTCCACCATTTATTGTCTGCCGTATCAGGTTCGGCGGCTGCTACGGTAAAATCGGTTCCATTGATTGAAGCCAATTATCCAATTGTATGGCAAAATTTGAATGATCGCTTTGACAATAAACGTGTTCTGTTAGGTGCACATATGGATACACTTTTTCGAGTTTCTCCTATAAAAACCGAGTCTCTCGTGGAGTTAAACAATTTTCTAACTACATTCCAGGAAAATATAGCAGCGATAAATGCACTCGAAGTCGATGATTTTCCTGGTTTCTTTTTATTTTATCTTGCGGCTCGTATATTGGATCCTGTAACTCGTCAAGCATTTGAATTTGAATATCACGCCGCTGAAGTACCTACTTTCGACATGTTGGCTGATTTCGTACGAATTCGGTGCCAAATGTTACAAAATTCAAGTTCAGCATCGAGACCTAATGATGGGTACAAAAATAATTTTAAATCTAAAGTCTCATTAACTACATCGTCGACTTCTCCAACGGTATTATGTGGGATATGTAAAGGCAAACATGCAGCGTATCAGTGTCCAAAGTTTATCCAGCAGAACGCGAAACAACGTTTTCGACTTGTGAAATCAAACAGGTTATGCACGAACTGCTTAAGTACGTCCCACAAAACGTCTGACTGCGAATCGACATATACCTGCCGTCATTGTGCACTAAAACACCATTCTTTATTACACCTGGATACCGCACAAGCACGAAAAAATTCCTGTCCTACGAATAAAAGCACCAAAGTTAATCAATCGACACCCACGCCCACAGATACATCCGTACCAACCGTGTCTAATATGACCGACGGTGTGCCGTTTGTGGGAACGTCTAGTTCGAAAACCAACGTAGTACTGGGTACAGCGGTTATACGCATACGTAATAACTGTGGGCAATTATCTCCCGTTCGTGTGCTTATTGATACTGGGTCACAAATATCCGTCATTACTACTGCGTGCGTATCAAGATTGGGAATCAAACGTAGGCATTGTAATACCGCGGTAACTGGTTTGTCACAAACATCGGTATCTACAACAAAGGGCTCAACTAATTGTACTTTACTACCACGTCACTCGACATCACCAGAAATTTATTGTGAACCTGTAATTTTGTCTAGGATTACTGGACCGATGCCGAACGTACTATTACCTAGTAACATTCGTACCACCTATTCGCATTTAACGCTTGCCGACCCTCATTTTGACGTACCAGGTCATATCGATTTCTTGCTGGGCGCAGATATTTACCCGTATATACTAGGACAATCTTGTCAGGTACTACATACCTCAAATTGTCCATCAGCTTTCGAAACACGTTTAGGGTGGATAATAGTGGGTCAATCTTCTGCGGACTCGCGTACACCCCCGGTTTCCTTATTGTTGACACCGGAGCCTTCGATAGACCATCTAATCCAGCAGTTCTGGGCCGTCGAAGAACCAGTACCAACGAACAGTACGTTCACTACCGACCAACAGTGTGAAGACCATTTTATTCGTACAACAACTCGCGATAGTACAGGTAGATACTCATTAGCACTACCATTCAGTATGGACCCATCGTGTCTTGGCGATTCTCGGGACATGGCGATATCACGGTTCTATAATTTGGAACGAAAATTGTTGAAAGACCCGCAGGTATATGAGCACTATCGCCTGTTCATGCTCGAGTATGAAAACCTTGGTCACATGAAGATGTCTTCAAAACCGGGAAAATATTATGTTCCCCATCATGCTGTGGTGAAACGAGATGGACCAAAAATGAAACTTCGAGTGGTCTTCGACGCTTCGGCCAAGTCGTCTTCGGGAAAGTCATTGAACGATTTGCTCCATGTTGGACCTAAGTTACAGACAGATATCACCGAATTGTTACACCGTTCTCGTTTCAACCAATATATATTCACCGCGGACATTTGTAAAATGTACCGCCAAATCAGAATTCATACAGAAGATTGTCAATACCAGCATATATTCTGGCGTGCAACACCACAAGAACCCCTACGTGACTATGAGCTTACGACGATTACGTATGGACTCACGTCGTCTCCGTTCCAAGCGATTCGAGTGTTGCACGAATTAGAGCAAAACGATGGACATCTTTATCCGACAACCGGTAATGTTTTGTCAACACAAACCTACGTTGACGATATTCTGACTGGTCGCAATAGCGTTAAAGATTTACTTGAACTACAGGACGAAATCACCGAGATGCTCGGCCGAGGTGGTTTTGAGTTAAAAAAATGGTCGTCAAACTGTAAAGAATTACTCTCTAAAGTTCCAAATGAAGATCAAGCTAATAGTTTGTCTTTTGATCCTAAAGACGATGCGGGAGTAAGAATACTTGGATTACATTGGAATCCAGCTGCCGACACCTTTACCTATCATACGTCCTCCATAATATCTAATATTCATACCAAAAGATCAGTGTTGTCAACGATCGCCAAACTATATGATCCTCTTGGTGCTCTTGCTCCCATCATATTTTGGGCCAAATGCTTCATGCAGTTACTCTGGCAAGCGGGTCTTCAATGGGACGAGCCATTACCGTCACACTTAATTGACCTGTGGAAACAGTACGAGTCTGAATTGCACATGGTCTCGGGGATAAAAATTTGTCGCCATATTCCCACCGAGAAGCTCACTAGCGTGCAACTTATTGGTTTTTCAGATGCATCGGAGAAAGGTTATGCCGCCGTGGTCTATTTGCGCACTATTCACCAGGATGGGCGTGTACTAATACATTTTATTACTGCCAAATCAAAGGTTTCACCCTCCAAGACTAGCAACACCAAGACCACGTTGACTATACCACGCTTGGAACTGTGCGGTGCACTATTATTAGCACAAGTGCTACATCGGTTAACCAACACATTTAAAGGTAATATAGTCATCTCAGAAACATTAGCCTGGACAGATTCATCTATAGTATTATCATGGCTCACGTCACCTCAGTCAAGTTTTAAAATATTCGTAACCAACAGACTTGCAAAAATTGCCGAAATTTTACCCACTTGTCAGTGGCGACATGTTGTGTCGGAGTCAAACCCAGCGGATTGTGTATCAAGAGGTTTATTCCCATCACAGGTTCATGACCAACATTTATATTGGCAGGGGCCTCCGTTTTTAAAATTACCGGACTCTGAATGGCCAATCACATCGTTCAAACCAATTCAACCATCACACTTGCCAGATTATTCGGATCCAACAAACGCGTGCTTAATGGTGGTGCCGGAAAAGGAAGTTGAATGGTTCACACGTTTTTCGTCATTGAAACGTATGCAACGCGTCACCGCCATCATGTATCGGTTTATAAGGCATACGCGCACGAACCGTGTCCCATACGTCGCACCCAAATATATATATGACCCTATCTCCGATGAAGAAATTTCGAATGTGATGTTACCGATCATTCGTATGACACAATCAGTACACTTCGTAAGTTTGTTGAGGATCCTACAAGTACCAACTACAAAGATAGTTCCTCGTTCAATTGCCCAACTTGCGCCGTTTATTGATAAAAACAACATTATACGGGTGGGTGGACGACTCCGAAATGCATTGGTATCACCAGAAACAAAAAACCCAATATTGTTGCCAAAATCAAGTACGTTGACTACACTCATTATTCGTAATTTCCACTGGAATCACTTCCACGCTGGACCTCAATTAATGTCATCGTTATTATCAAGTTATTATTGGATAATATCCAGTCGATCGGCCATACGTCACGTTATCTTCAAATGCGTTGTGTGTGCTCGCCATAGAGCGTCGGTTACTCATCCTATGATGGCCGACCTCCCATCCAGTCGAGTAACATTATGCCGACCATTTTTGCACGTTGGTATCGACTTTGCTGGACCACTTATCCTAGCTGAGAGCCGTCGTAAGAACTCACGATCAATAAAATGTTACCTTGCTATCTTCGTGTGTATGACTATCAAAGCTGTACACATTGAAGTGGTTTCTGACCTTTCAACTAACACGTTTTTGGCGGCTTTACAACGCTTTGTCGCTCGACGTGGTACCCCATCAGACATTTACACTGACTGTGGAACGAACTTTAAAGGAGCAGATCAAGAAATACGTAACATAATGTTAGACTCCTCCACCGCCAAGACAACATATACGAATGCGATTTCATGTAAGTGGCATTTTAACCCTCCTGCAGCCCCACATTTTGGTGGCCTGTGGGAGGCGGCTGTAAAATCCACAAAATATCACTTAAAACGAGTTGTGGGTACTCAACGGTTAACGTTTGAAGAAATGGTCACATTAACAAGTCGTATTGAAGCTCTACTCAATTCTCGACCGATAACTCCATTGTCTGCTGATCCTAATGATTATCGTGCACTAACTCCAGGTC